TCCTTCCTTCCTTCCTTCATTTTATTTCTTCATTCACCTATTCATTATTCCTTCTTTTTTCTTCCTTTCTTTCATTCCATACATCCATCTTTCTTTTATTATACCCTTCACCATGGACTGCTCCAGTGTTTGATAATCTTTTCCTCTATTTAAGGATTTTGTGGCGTTAAAAGGGGAAGTCTTTTTTCCAAATCTAACTTTTGAGACGACAGAGGTAAGTAAATGTCCAAGTTTCAAGTTTATTTAAATAAAGCAGGCCAGTGGTTTTAAAACTGATAACATGATTAGCGATACACAATTGTTTTTTTATGATAACACTGAAATGAAGGGAAAAATACAAAGAGAAAGCTCATCTAATGTAGTCCGAAATACTATTGATTAGTAAAAGGCTAGTTTAGCAATCAAAATCCAGCAATATTTTTTAAGAAATATTGGAAGCTGATTGTCATTTTTTCTGTCGTCTTGTCGTCGTCGCTGACTTTGTCGTCGTTGTTGATGGTGATGTTTGTTGTGCTGGTTCTGCATGGTATTTCATTGTTGCTACTGGTACTGTTGTTGTTGTTGCTGTTGCTGTTGTTTTTGTCTACTTCTACTCAGTGTGCATTATTGCTGACGGTGTTGATGTCAATGTTGTCCTGATTACAGTACCGACGTTTACTTAGTAACGAGGAGTCAACATCTCAGAGGATTTTGGACTACTCTATATATCTATTCAATCGGCCAACCTTTTTGAAGCAGCCACCCAAGCATTTCCCAGGAGTGTTTCTGAATAGAGGTTCTATTGAAATGAAGTCAGAAAAAGCAGTTGACTCGATCGTTTTTCTTGTGCTCCCATTTAGGTTGACTTTGGTTGTATCCTGAATGATACTGAAGTGACTAAGGTGGTCAGTATCACCAATCACAGTCCAATAGATGTCAAGTATCAATGGAGCTTTATCGATGGTACAGTCGAGTTTGAAAACAAGGACGAAGACGAAGGTATGTACAGTTTATGTGGTGTTTTTTTCCACCCTGGTATTATTGTCACTGTTATCATTAGAGTAGATTTTGTATAACAGTGAAACGGTACTGCATGGTACGCAATTTATTGACGATATCCTTTGAGCCAATCATAGTGCACGAGATCTTTGCTAAGCCAATGAAAATGCTTAGACTTGTTAACGTCACAGTTACTGCACGGTTACTGACAAGTCAGCATAGAGGGCAGTGTCGCGTTTAACATCCCATACACATCCCGCTCTGAGTGCCACCTGCACTGCCAATCTTCTACACAGTGCCAAGGGCAGTGTTGCCTTTGCCACCCCATACACATCCCGCTCTGAGTGCCACCTGCACTGCCAATCTTCTACACAGTGCC